AACGGTGGAAAAACTTCACTCCCTGAAGAAACAACCAGTGAAGTCCTTCCTGGTCTCCATGGTACCTGATCCCAACACTTTGCTGAGTTTTACTTATTATTGTTGTTATTATTATTTAATAGGCTGTCTCCCTCACTGGAGCATACGTTCCATGCTTACTCCTGGATCCCTAAAGTCTGGCCAAGGGCCTGACAAAGTGCTCGAGAATATTTGTTGACTAAACAAAGACATAAATATAGGTTTTTCTGTATTTTAAAAAACTTTTCAAATTAAAAAATAAAAGAAAAAGAAAAGAAATCAACAAATAATGAGAACGAGGTATCTTTTCTCCCTAAACATGAATTGGTTAGATAACTGAGCAATTTGTACTTCTGCTTTCTTTCTTCCAGATCCCATATAGATTGTCCTCTTCTCTCCCTGTCATCTGATGACATCCTCTGTCCTTTCTTCCCTGGAACAAACGGAACAGACATACTCATAACAGGTCACGACTCACAAGTCTAAGGAGAATTTTCTGGCTGATTACATTTTGTAGGAGTTTCTGCTTGAATAAAGAGCACTTCGTAATAAGTGAGCTTTGTCCAAAATAAAATGTTTTTGTGCAGGAAGGGGCACACGAAGGCAAAAGTACCTAGGTCCCTTGAAGCCCTTTCAGAATGAGATGGGGTCAATCACTTAGACCTCGTCTTCTGGAGCCGGTATATTGTTTCAGGCTCGCTTTCCCCCTCATCAATTGGAATGTTTATTTAGACTTCCTGTTTAACCTTCCTCATTGTTCTGAAAGTACAGGATATGACCCTGCCCAGTTACTAGAATCAACCTCTATTATTTTATGCGCAGAATATAAGTGTCCAACTACTCCAAACCTGGTAGGAACAGTCGAAGGCAGACAAGCCTCTCGATTGGTGCAGGTTATCCCCTTTGGCACCCACCTATGGTCCATCCTGTCCATCTAACATGAATCCTGTCACCAGGTTGGGCGCTGGTCGAAGGCCTAAACCTGGCCGGCAGGCCCTGGTCCAAGGACGGGAGCAACGCTGCCGCTGCCATCATTGCAGGACACATCCCCTTCGTGGCCTTTGATACCTTGGGGACACTGGCACCAGAGGAAGTTTTAAAAATAGCCCATGTCTGAATTATCCAAGAACAAACAGAAAAGACTTTTGCTTGGCTAAAACCAACAGGGTTTTATACTCTAATTGCAGTTGGATGGTTTCAATCCGTTTCCCTTTAAAGTATGAGCTGATCCCCAGAAATTCTTATGTGTGATTCTTTTTTCTTTTCTGGGACATATTTTAACAAAACTTGGGTACAGCCCTTCCAGTTGTTTCCACCTGAGTCTCCTTTTCAAGCTTCTTATCTCTGATCCCCCTTGCTCCCTATCCGGGCCTCTCACCTTCTCTCAGCTCTTCATTTCTCATTCCACGCTCCTAAAGGAAATTGGAGGCCGGGCATGGTGGCTCACGCCTGTAATCCTAGCACTCTGGGAGGCCAAGGTGGGTGGATCACTCAAGGTCAGGAGTTCGAGACCAGCCTGAACAAGAGCGAGACCCCGTCTGTACTAAAAAATAGAAAGAAATGATCTGGACAACTAAAAATATATATATAGAAAAAATTAGGTGGGCATGGTGGTGCATGCCTGTAGTCCCAGCTACTCAGGAGGCTGAGGCAGGAGGATCGCTTGAGCCCGGGAGTCTGAGGTTGCTGTGAGCTAGGCTGACGCCATGGCACTCTAGCCCGGGCCCGGGCAACAGAGCCAGACTCTGTCTCAAAAAAAAAAAAAAAAAAAAAAAAGGAAATCGGAGAATGAGTTGAAGGGGAGCAAAATAAACAATTCAGCTGCTTCTCTATTTTTACAGAAAAATCTGTGTGGCTGCTTTTGAAGATGAAAGCTACTTCTGATTATGTAAGACAATGTTTTCCTCAGTCAAAGCACGGATGTGGTCCCAAGAGGCTTGGGTTCTAGCCTTGTCTCTTGTGACCTTGCTGTGTGATCCTGGACACAACTCTTCACCCTCTGGGACTCGAGTTCCTCATTTGTTAAATAAGCAGCACAAATTCCTCTGCAGGTAATGTAACAGAGTACAGGGAGAAGAAGAACTGGACCTAATGTGGTAGACTCTCTTTGGGAAAAGCCAATGTCCCCTCATCCCAAGGCACATGAGGTCTCTCCGGAAAGTATCCAGCCATTGTTAATATAACGAGAGCAGTTTGCATGACATGGATGTAACCTGGCAGCCAAGGAGAGTGAACTGGGATGAGAAAGCGTGAACAACGACGACTTCACTGCACTAGTCAGTGGGGCGCTAGACGCCACTGAGTGAGCGTGTGTCCTGTGTGGCTGTCGCACCCAAAATGACTGAGCGAGTAGAGCAATGAATCTGCACCAGATTTTGCATTAAGTTTGAACATTCCTGTGTAGAAACTATTCAGATGATTCTGAAGGCTTTCAGGGACAATGCAATGAGTGCAGCACAAATAAAAGTCTGGCACAAACGCTTCAAAGATGGTCAAGAATCTGCTGAAAGTGACCCATGTTCTGGAAGGCCTGCAACAAGCAGAACAGCTGAGAATGTTGAATGTATACGGGTTAGGTTAAGAGATGCCGGGAAAACTATGTGAGGTCCCAAGGTGCCTACTTTGAAGGCGACTGAGGCGTCATTGTCCTAGTACAATGTTTCTTGTATCTTCTTCAATAAATGTCTCTATTTTTCATGTAATCATGGCTGGATAATTTCTGGACAGCCCTTGTCTTATCCACATTGGAGACGGTCTAGAGTGGCCTAATTCCCAGCCTTAGGAAAAAGAAGAGGGCGAGCATGAGGGAGGGCTAAACAGAGAGCTGGAATGCCTTAGACTGCCTAAGCACAGTGTGCCTGTGACTGCCTAAGAGAACCAACTCCAGGGTGGCCTGGTGTTTTATGCAATGTGTGTCTTCTCTCCCTTCCTTTACCTTGGAGTGAACTAACATAAAAAGACCAAAGGCCTCCCCTATTCTGCAGGGGTGTAATCTCAACGGTGGAAAAAACTTCACTCCCTGAAGAAACAACCAGTGAAGTCCTTCCTGGTCTCCATGGTACCTGATCCCAACACTTTGCTAAGTTTTACTTCAGCCAGGCAGCATTAATGGAGCATCCATTTTGTGCCAGGCTCTGTGCTTAGAGCCAGGATATGAAGATCGTCTCCTATCTCCTAGATGGTCTCCTTTTCCCACACTTTCCTCTCTGTAGTCTATCTCCACGTGGAGTTAGAGTGATATTTTAAACGTGTTGATCATGTCCTTTCCCTGCTCAAAACCCTCCAGTGGCTTCCTCTTGTACTTAGGATAACATCCAAACCCTATTCCTTATACTACAGGGCCCCACAGGGTCTGACATGCGCTTGCCTCTCTGACCTCATTCTACCCTTTTTGTTGTTGCAGACACCAATGTGATTCCTGAATCAGGGCCCTGTTTTGGTGTGGTGGTGGGAAGGACCTCAGGCACACTGAGTTGAGTTCACTCACAATTCTCAAGTCCTTTCTCTTGCTGTGCATATTTATTCTTTTATTCCAATTCTCCATTCCCAATTTTATCCCAATTCTTCTTCTTCCACAACCATTCTGAAATATTTCAACTGTATCTTCTGTTTGCATGTGTTCTAGCAGAATATGATGTCTGTGGGCCTATATGTTAAATATACATAACATGTGATATATTTTATGCCTTTCTCACTCAGCACTAGGTTTTTGAGATCTAACCATGTTTTGTTTTGTTTTTTTCAGACAGAGTCTCACTCTGTCGTCCCAGCTAGAGTGCAGTGGTGTCATCGTAGCTCACAGCAACCTCAAACTTCTGGGCTCAAGAGATCCTCCTGCCTGAGCCTCCCCAGTAGCTGGGTCTACGAACGCGCACCACGATGCCTGGCTAATCTTTCTATTTTTGGTAGAGATGGGGTCTCGCTCTTGCTCAGGTTGGTCTCAAACTCCTGAGCTCAAGCTCAAGCAGTCCTCCCACCTCGGCCTCCCAGAGTGCTGGGATTACAGACATGAGCCACCGCGCCCAGCCCTAATCATATAGTTAAGGGCCACCGCGCGCAGCCCTAACCATATAGTTAGTAAAATGTGTACATGGTGTACACACATGTACACCATGTACACATTTTACTACCCATTTTCCCAGTGATGGACACCAGGTTGCGTCCAACTCCCCGTCTCCAGGAATAACGCTGCAAAGATCACCCTGCAGTGTGACCGGCCACAGGAGGACGCATGCTGGGCACAGGGCAGGCAACACCAAGTACTGAAGTGGCCGATTGCTTTCCAGAACAGCCGCACTGGCTGCACGGGCTTCGTGCTTGCAGTTCCCTCAGCCTGGAATGATGGTCTTTCTCCTGCTCATCAATGAGGTTTAACTCAGATATCACTACCTCAGCGAGGCCTTCCCAATCTTGCAGTTATCCCCAGAACCCACCCTCCCCAGGTTACTCTCTGTCATTTTTATTTACGTTTGTTACATCATAGCACTTTTCGCAATCTGAAATGATCTGTGTTAATAATCTGTCTTTTCTCCACGAAGGCCGGGGACGCTGTCCCGTTCACGGGGCTTCTGGCATAGCGCTAGCATATGGTAGGCTATTATTGAATTTTTAAGTGAATGAAATAACAAATAAATATTATTGTGATATCAATCTGTTCAAAACTCTATGGTTAGAAAAGGGGGGGACGTACGGGCGACACAGGTAGAGAAGGCTCTTTCAGAAGGGAACTAGAGGTCAGCTGGAGGCCCTGGTCATCAGCCCCTTCTGCACTGGCTCAGCGCCACAGGCCAAACGCTCACATCTATCCCTAACTTTTCGCTTCGTTTCCGCGAGGCCCCACCCGGCTGGCCGGCTGGTGCAAAACCCAGCAAGCCCGCAGGGGGCGCCCAGAACACGCCGTCTGCGAAGAACGATTAATAAAACTACATTTCCCAGCGTCCCGCGCGCCGCTGACGCACTTCCAAAGCCCGCGGACAAGATGGCTGCGCCCCAGGAGCACGATTCTCCGACAGAAGCGCCCCAGCCGGCAGTGGAGGAGGAGGAAATTAAAACATTTAAAGATTTGGTGAGCATGGATGACGCTGGCTTCTTTTTGTACTCTAGGACTAGGCTCAGGCAGGGCTCGGTTATCTTAGATCCTGGCCGGAAGTGTACAAAAGCATCTCGGGGCCTGGCTTAGGTTTTCCCCAGAATTTCAGAGGCTCGAGTTCCGGACGTGCTCAGAGTTTGGGTGGTGGGAGGACTGCCGGTCCTGAGAGCCCCCATTTGCCCTGTTTTCCACTGTAGCGTGGCAACGTTTGTCTGTGTCCAGGAGGTTGTACACATGGCGAATCGGTCTTTTTGTAGCTGGAGCTTTTGAAGTTTGACCCAGTCACTTAACTGTAGGCAAGTTGTTACTTCTCTGTGCTTCACTTTCCCCTTCTCAAAATTGCGGATGATAATAAATACTTACCTCCCAGAATTGTGACGATTAAATCAGATAATACATGTAAAAGCACTTAACCTTCTTCCTGGGGAGTGGAAAGTGTTCGTTAAGTCTGGGGCTACTTACTGTCTCCTGGTACTCATAAAGAGTAGGCCCTGAGGTGCATAAATACCTTGAAATCAAGTATAAGGGCTGTATATGTGTCCGTGGGATGGCTCTGACAAAGTCTTTTAAGTAGGAGGGAGGCGGGAGTGTGCTGTTCTTTGCTAAGGTATATTTCTCTGAATTCTAAGGGTGTGACAGATGTATTGTGTGAAGCTTGTGACCAGTTGGGATGGGCAAAGCCCACCAAGATCCAGATTGAAGCTATTCCTTTGGCCTTACAAGGTAGGTTGAAATGAAATATGTGACCTGGTACAGATTTATTTTCAAGTTATAGTCAATTAAATACTTAGCACTTTTGAGAACTATTGTTTGCATACTCCAAGTGAAATAAAAATATGGTCACTAAAGATACAAAGTTTGGGCTTCTTGGCTTTTGAAAAAGTCATTCAACAGTTTTACTGAGCTTATTTCCTTTCTTTCTTTTTTTTCTTTTTTTGAGACACGGTCTTACTCTGTCACCCAGGCTAGTGTGCAGTGGCACGATCATAGCTCACTGCAATCTCAAACTCCTGGGCTCTAGTGATCATCCTGCCTCAGCCTCCCTAGTACCTAGTACTACAGGTGTGTGCCACCATGCCCGGCTGATTTTTCTAATTTTTGTAGAGATGTGGTCTTGCTGTGTTGCTCAGGCTGGTCTCAAACTCCTGGCCTCAAGTGATCCTCCCTCTGCTTTGGCTTCCCAAAGTGCCAGGATTATATATGTGAGCCACTGCGCCCGGTCTGAGCTTACTTTCTGTGTTAATAGCTGAAGGGTTTTGTTCTCTGCCACAGATGCTGACTTTAAGGAATCACTGATTAAAGTGTACTAACAAAAAGCTTGTTAGAAATTACAAAACAATAGGTGCACACTTACATATGTACTTGTGTCTAAAGGAGTTTAGAGCTCTCGTATGTTTATCAGATTTGCAGAAGAATGGTTAAAGTACTGGTTGGTGACTAGTGAGTCTGAAACAGGATGAACTGTAATAGGAATAGAAGTAAAGTCCTGTTCTTAGATTCCCGAAGTTCTAACTTTACAGGATGAGGACAGGTGGTAAAAGAGACCCAGAGATGTTCATTAAAAGAAATTCATTAAGATCCTCAAAGAAAGTGAATATAGGCCGGATGCAGTGGCTCACGCCTGTAATCCTAGCACTCTGGGAGGCCGAGGTGGGCGGATCGTTTGAGCTGAGGAGTTTGAGGTTGCTGTGAGCTAGGCTGATGCCACTGCACTCTAGCCAGAGCAACAGAGTGAGACTCTGTCTCAAAAAAAAAAAAAAAAAAAAAGAAAAAGAAAGTGAACGTAATCTTAGCTACATTACTATAAGAGGAGAGTGACATTTTGGGGGGGCCCCTTATCCCTTTGAGGATCAAAAATAAAAGATTTCTTCTCCTTTAAAAAATGCCCAAATATGTCTTCACATAAAATTTTTCATATAATTTCAGAGAGTTCAAGACTTTCCTTTCCCCTTACACTAAATTTCTCACTCACAAGTCTCAGATTAAGAACCTCCTGGACTAGCACTAGGGAAGGAATAGTGCATTGCACTGGTTAGAACACACCTCAGATGCTATATTGCTTAGGTCTGGGGACCACAGTTTTCTGGGACCAGCTGAGGGGCAATGAGTATGGTATAGTATCAAAATAGTCACAAATAGGTAAAGGAACTGAGTGCCATTGTTCTGGAGAAGAGAAGAGGGGGTAAGATGTGATAATTGTTGGCTTTAATGATTTGGAAAGCTGTTATGTGGAAAAGCGATAGACTTATGCTGCGTAATTCCATTTGTTCCTTCCCTAAATAGTTACTGAGTATTTGATGTAAATGTAAGGCTCTGGGGATGAAGAGTCTGTCCAAGAGCTCACAGTCTACTGACAAGATAGTTACAAATTTATTACAAGGTGAGCAGGGACATAAAGTTATATTCAAAGTGCACTGAGGGAGTAGAAGAGATTGTTTCTAATTGGAATGGATTGGAAAAGATTTATTTCATTTTATTTTTTGAATGGGGAGATTAGGAGACATTTGAGACTGAATTTAGAAGGATTTAGATATTCAGATATGATGAGAGGGGAGGACTTTCTAGGCACAGGGAACAATATGAAAAAAAGCCAAAGATGCTAGAAAACCTGGGCATGTATGGAGATTTGCAAGTGCTTAACAGAGTGGTAAAAAAGTTTAGTAAGGTGGTTGTGGCCAGATTATGAAAGACTTGAATGCTGGCTAAAGGAATTTGGTCTTTGTTCTGTAGGCAGTGGAGCATTTTTGGAGATGATTTTTTAGCAGGAGAACAAAATCCCTAGAGTTGTACTCTTGGAAGATTAATCTCATTGCTGTGTAAGATCATTTAGAGACAAGAGACTGGAGGCTGGGAAACCAATTAGCAGGTCATTGCATGGGAAGGGTAGTGGTAGTGACAATGAAAAAGAGAAAATGATAAAAAAAAGAATCATAATGATTTTATAACCACTTAGGCAAGGGATGGGGAAATCTTAAGATCGCTGAGTTTCTAGGGTGCATGTTTAGGACATATTGTTGGTGTATCACTGATATAAAATGGCAACACAGGAAGAAAAATAATTTCAGGAAAGATGAGTTCAGTTGGAAATAATTGATTTCAGATATAAATGAGATGGAATTGACTAATATGCAGTTGGGGGAGGGGAAAATGGGGAGATGTTGGTCAAAAAGTACAAAGTTTCAGTTAGGATGAATAAGTTGTGAAGATCTAGTGTACAGCATGGTGAGTGTAGTTAATAATGTTTCGTATATTTGAAAATTGCTAAGAGAGTGGATCTTAAGTGTTCTCACCACAAAAAATAAGTATGTGAGGCGATGGATATGTTCATTAGCTTGGTTTAGTTATTTCACAATGTATACATTTATCAAAGCATCACATTGTATACCATAAATACATACAATTTTTATTTGTCAATTATACCTTAAGAAAGCTGAGGAAGAGTAAAGTAAAATAGAAAGAAAAATATGCAGTTGGAATCCAGGGACTGGGACTTGACTGAGAGGTCAGAACTGGATATAGACACTATCCAAAGAGCTGAAACTGAAAATAGCTGAAACTGAAAATACATGAGATTACCAAATGAGGCCATGAGATGACAGAGAGAATTGGAAGATGCAGTAGAGGATTGAAAATCATGAGAGTATAGTCTCATACAAACTAGGTAAGGGAGAGTATTTCAAGGAGGTGATAGTAAACACTACACTTCCAACCTGTGCAGAGAAGTTTGGAGGATAAGGACTGTATAAAGGCCATGGATGGGAAAGAAGTACCAGCAGCCCCAGAGTCCCTTTCTTTCTTTCTTTCTTTCTTCCTTTCTTCCTCTCTTCCTCCCTTCCTTCCATCCTTCCTTCCTTCCTTCCTTTTCTTCTTTCTTTTTTCCTTTCTTCCTTCCTTTCCTTCCTTTCTTTCCTTTCTTTCTTTCTTGTCTTACTTTTTATTTTAAGAGAGAGGGTCTCATACTGCCACCCAGGCTGGAATGCAGTGGTGTGATGATAGCTCACCATATCCTCAAAGTCCTGGGCTCAAGGGATCCTCTTGGCTCAGCCTCCCAAGTAGCTGGGACTACAGGTGTGTGCTACCATGTCCAGCTAACAGACATGGTGGCATATCTAATAGCAAGAAGGGTTGGTGCAGTTTGATTTTTCCCAGCTTGGCCTATAGCATAGGTGGGAAGAAGGAGTCAAAATTGGGTGGTAATAATTCTAAAAGTATTCTCATGTTTTCAGTTAAAAGTTTGAGTTGATGCAGAGAAGAATAGGGGTCAGTGGAAGATTGCGAGGAACTGAGTAATGATATGATAATGAGGAAACATGTCTCTATCCTTATTCTTGGGCAGTCTCTTCTAATGAATAGCTTACAAATGTCTCATTTGAATCTAGATTCTGGTTCTAAGCAAACAATTAAAATCTAAGTTTGTTTTTGTTGGAATTGTTCTGTTAAACTAACTTTTAAATTTTAATTTGGAACTAATTATGGTTTCAGTTCTGCACAGTTACTGAGTCCTGAGTTGTGTGTTATTCTTAAATCTCATAACAATACTGAAAGGTAGGAATGATTATTTTATTGGTGAGGAAATTGAGGCTCAGAGGGTTAAATCCCCTGGCTAGAGTCACTTAACTAATTATTGCTAGAGCTAGAATTTGAACATAAAATCTTATACCCCAAGACCTGTGTTTATGCCTTGTATCAGAGTCTTACTATGGAGAGATCAAAAATCTTTTGATGGTTTTGAGGATGATTTTCTTCCCATATTTCATGTATTAAGCTTATTTCCATTTCAGAGATCACTTAGAATTGTCTTCTAGGCATTTCAGACAGTTTATTGGTGGCTGCCATATACTTGTGTTTGGTGTTAGCAATGTGGTAGGTGAATATGACAAAATTTATTCTGCTCTCATGAAGTTTATGCATTCTGGTATATTCTATACAGATGTTAAGTCTGAAAAGGCTTAGAGGGTTTGAGAGGAAGAAAGGAGATGACATAGAAAAATTAACAGTTTCACAAGCTGAGGGTTTCTCTGAGGGACTCAAAAAACATGAAAGCAACGTAGGCCTCAGCTGTTGGCTGTGAGCATTGTTCACTGCTCCATGAATCAGGTGACTTCCCTAAATCTTTCTTATATACTCTTCTGAAATATTAAGATTTGCCTTGACAAAAAACAGAGGACAAATTCTCCCTCCCTCCCCCCCAATTCCTGAAGGCATGTTGTGGTACACAAGCAGGGAAGACAAAATCCCCAAGGAGTTTGGGGGAATAAAAAGCTTTGGAAATCATTAGCTTACATTGATCTTTATTTCTCGAATAGACAGATGCTGTTGCAATTCATTGTCATTACCCTACAGGGAAGGGAAATATTAAAATAAGTAGATAAGTGAGAAATTTTATCCCTGGATTTCCATTTGCTTATATAAATCTTTATAAAGTTAGCCTATTGTTTGGTCTGACTTGTACTTCACATCTATGCATATACTTTTGAATGGAAAAACACGAATGTTAATGAATAGAAGGCTAAAAGGTAGAATTCAGTAGAATACACTGTCTGATCTGGCATGGCAGATCCTGGTTTAAGTGATTAGTGTCTAAGAGATGAATATTATTAAAAGTCCATTCTATTCGATCAGTGACTTTGAACACAACTGATCGCTCTTTTTTTTTTTTTTTGGAGACAGTGTCTTGCTCTGTCACCCAGGCTGGAGTGCAGTAGCATCATCATAGCTCACTGCAGCCTCAGACTCCTGGGCTCAGGTGATCTTTCTGCCTCACCTCCTGAGTAGCTGGGACTACAGGCTGATGCCGCCACACCTGGCTTATTTTTCTAATTTTTGTAGAGATGGGGTCTCACTGTGTTGCCCAGGCTGGTCTTGAACTCCTGACCTCAAGCAATCCTCCTGCCTCACCCTCCCACAGTGCTGGGATTCAGATGTCAGCCACCACACCTGGCCTAATTCTCCTTTCCTGAAACTCTCTTCCTCTTTAATTTCAAGACAGCATTTTATTTTTCTATCTTTTTAGGTGTCCTTTCTCAGTTTCTTCTGGTTCCTTTCCCTTTGCCCTACAATGTTGATTTTCTTTTCATCCTAATTCCACTACCTAAGAATTCTCATCTAGTCCCTTTCCCTCCAATACTTCTGTGTTCCAGCTATATTGCACTTCTCACTTTTCCCATGCGTGCTGTGTTATTTAAAGCCTTCATCCTCTTTCCTCTTACAGGAAGAGCTTTCCTTCCCTGTCGCTCCATAAATTAATATAACTATATAAGAGACAGAAATGGTCCCAGGAGTTTTGCAGGGCTCTGCCCGGAAAGAATATGTGAACATATTAGTTTGCATATCAAAAGCTGCTCCACCTCAGGAGGGCATTTCAAAGGTCAGCAGCAACTGCTTTCCAAGGTGACACTGTGGTCTCAACCCCGTGGTTCTCACCTGCTTTGAAGGACAAAGCAAGGTGTACATGGAATCACAGGATGAGAGCTGATCAAAGAGTGTCGACCCAGAGACAGATACCTGCAGCTAAAAACAGTTAGCCCAAGGGACAGTTCCTGCTTGACTTCTGATGACCTGTCTCTATCTGCAGTAACTAGATAAAGAAATATGGAGCCACTATATCTCTGTTTAACCCTTCTGTTAAGTAATAGCTTTATCTTGGAACTTAGAAGTTTGTCCTTGAAAGATTTTGTAACCAGAGTTAGTTAAGGGATCTATAGTAGCCTTTTGAAAGACTTTTAACCAAAAACGAACTACCTGTTATTATGTAAATCTGTTACCCCTGGCAGCCGATCTCTGTACCTATAAATACCCATGTGAAACTTTATTCTGGGCCTTACGATTCATGGGGATATCGTAGGGACCCCTGAGTACCCCGCTTTTTGCCTTTTATCTTTATAAATCTATAAAACTGTACCTTTGTGTATTCTTTTATTTCTGTTATTTTCCATTTTCTATTATTTTCTTATCCTTTGCGATGACCCCTACCTAAGGGACCCGATTTTTTGCTGGGAGCATAGCTAACTCCTTGCACTTCCCTTCTTTGCTTATTTCCAGATTTAACTGACTCATCACCTCTGTTAGCCTTTTCTGACTTTTCTAGGGTAGTCTGTTACTCTTTCCTTTGTGTTCTCACTGTATTTTATAGGGGCCTATCTATGTTAAAGCCCTTATCACATTATATTTGTATTTTTCTATCTCACCACTGGATTTTGAGCTTATCTAAGACGGAGACCTAGTCTTTTTTTGTCTATTCAACCTTCCTCTCTCCCCAGTTCATCAGATATTTACTTAGTGTCTACTTTGTGCTCAGCATCGTGTCACTGTAGAAAACATGGAAATAGTACAGAGAGAATTTCTTTGGTATTAAGCCTTCTCTTTTTCTTCTAGGTCGTGACATCATTGGGCTGGCAGAAACTGGCTCTGGAAAAACAGGGGCCTTTGCTTTGCCCATTCTGAACGCGCTGCTGGAGACCCCCCAGCGTTTGTTTGCCCTGGTTCTGACGCCCACTCGGGAGCTGGCTTTTCAGATCTCAGAGCAGTTCGAAGCCCTGGGGTCCTCTATCGGAGTGCAGAGTGGTAAGTGACTGGCAGGTGAGGAATCCTACACCAGTGCAGAGTGAGTGTGAAAGGAGAAGGGAGGAAAGAATTAGTAGCATAACTTGTTGACCTAAAGAGCCAATGTTGTATTTTAGCTTTGGGAAAAGTATTAATTGTAAAGGAAGAGCAAATTTAGGTAGAAATCTAGCACTGGCTTTAAAAGATGTTCAGTGGACTATGGGAAAAAATTAAGGGTCTTGTTTCTGTGTTCTTTTTATTTCTATAGCTGTGATCGTGGGTGGAATTGATTCAATGTCTCAATCTCTGGCCCTGGCAAAAAAACCGCATATAGTAATAGGTGAGTAATTGGCAAAGGTAAAAGACACTGGCATTGATGAATTGGAGAAAATCTGCTGATGTTGGGTGGAAAGACTTTGAGGAACAGGATTTTGTAGCTTTGTTTAATTTTTTAATTTCTTAAATATTTGTTTTTGGTAGCGGGGAGTAGATAATTTTATTTCTTTCCTTTTGTCCTTGTTCTGAAACATTGCACTTTCTCTTCAACCTTTCCTGATAGCAACTCCTGGTCGACTGATTGACCACTTGGAAAATACAAAAGGTTTCAACTTAAGAGCTCTCAAATACTTGGTCATGGATGAAGCCGACCGAATATTGAACATGGATTTTGAGACAGAGGTGATTTCTCGATTTCTTTCCTACTCTTAGGGCATCTCAAGGCCCCCGTTTCAAAATCTGGTTCGTCGCCCACCTGTTTTATGTAAAGCACTACATCAGTGTCAGTTAATTCAACATCCTTGCTGCCTTTTCCATTCTTGGTGCTCTTCACATTGCGGTTCCTCGGAACCCTTTTATCTTTAGAGTATAGTCTGACTCCGGCTTCAGAGAGGAGAAATATCAAAACCACATTTTCTTTTCCATTTCATTTGACTTAGACCTTAAAATGTACCTTGAAATATCTTTATTTTCTTGGATAGTCCACTCATCCTAGCTTATTTAGGTGATTAATTATGTATTCTCGACTTTTCTCTTAGATTAGTTTTAACATGGTAATTTAAGCTGTTCTTTTTTCTGAATGGTATTGGTTTTTTGTTAGCATCTGGTATGGTGTCAAATAGTAAATATTCTGTAAATTTTAGCTGAATTGAATCGAATTTTTGAGTCCCAGATCCCCATTGTGATGTGTTTAGTTTGTTAGTCTCTACCTCCTTCACTCTCTGGACGTTTTGCGGGTGTCCAGTCTAAATGTTATATCTGTGTCCTTTCCTTTTTGTGCCTTAGGTTGACAAGATCCTCAAAGTGATTCCCCGAGATCGGAAAACATTTCTCTTCTCTGCTACCATGACCAAGAAGGTGAAATTTGCTAGGACTTCTGTTTTCTTCTTTATAGAAATTGATACATATCAGGATCTGGAAGAATTTGCAAAAAAAAAAAAAAGATTGATACATAAAATCAGTAATAACAGTAACAGTAACAATAAGTAAAAATGCAAAAAGAGCATTTAGGAATCAGTGCAGTGTGCTATTCTGGATTTTCTTTCTTCAGGTGCAAAAGCTTCAACGAGCAGCTCTGAAGAATCCTGTGAAATGTGCTGTTTCCTCTAAATACCAGACAGTTGAGAAATTACAGCAATATTATCTTTTCATTCCCTCTAAATTCAAGGTAGAGTGTTTACTTTGATCTTTCCTGCCTCTCCCTCTCCTTCTCACCAAAGCATCTGAAAATGTGTCAACTCTTGATTAGCTGAGAGCTGTGCTGGAGTTTTTTCTGTTTGCTTTAGAGTGCATATCATGCTTGTATTTATCACTGAAAGTCAAACATTCCAGGAATTCACAACATATTAAACCACAATAACGAAGTCATGATGTGATCATATAATCATTCCTTCCCATCCCCATCCAAGAGGTAGTTTTTCCTCTGCTTATTATGTGGACTTATTTAGGACAGGGATCCTAGTTTTGTGCTTTGACCTAAGGATTTTACCTGTTTGCTGAGTACAGATCTCCTTGTGTTTGGCTTCAGGCTCCATGGGGGATGCATGGCCCACAGATAACACTGGTTAAGAAGAGCAAAGCTGGCAGCTAGGGGTCTGGATAATTGAGAAGCAACCATCGGCTTAGTATTACTTAATGTATATGCCAGGTCTCTAACCCTTTCTTCCAGATTCAATTATATATATATTGTTTTGGGTTTGTAACTTAGGATACCTACCTGGTTTACATTCTAAATGAACTGGCTGGAAACTCATTTATGATATTCTGTAGCACCTGTAACAATACTCAGAGAACAGCTTTGCTACTCCGAAATCTCGGATTCACGGCCATCCCCCTCCATGGACAGATGAGTCAGGTAAGGATTCTTTGGCATGTAAGCCATGACTGGTGGCATGAGAAAGATAAACCTTGTAACAGTAGATTTGTACAATAAGGACACATGTTTCCATAATTGTTCTAGTTTTATGGGCTTTGGAGTGTTGCTCTGGATGGTTACTTTCTCCTTTCGGGATAGCAAGAAGCTCAGATTGGAATATTGCGTAGGTAGTTGTCTGGTTTGCAAGCTGTTGAGTTTATTTGTTCAGCCCTAGTGGTACTAGTGATTCTCTGGTCTCTAAAGAGTTTTAATAAACTATTTCCCAATTATCTATTATGTTAAATAATCCCTGTTTCTAATGTAAGCCTTTTTTTTTTTTTTAATGCCTAAGTGCTTAGAACTTAAGTCTTAAATATTTTTTGTTGCTGCCATATTTCTGTTTTGACCTGTGAAGCCCCATTCTGGACTTAGGGGGAAACAAACTTTTAAAAATTTGTATCTTAGTGCTCGCTTCGGCAGCACATATACTAAAATTGGAATGATACAGAGAAGATTAGCATGGCCCCTGTGCAAGGATGACACGCAATTTCGTGAAGTGTTCCATAATAAATAAAAAAATAAAAAAAAAATTTGTATCTTAGGCTGGGCATGGTGGCTCACACCTATAATCCTAGCACTTAGGGAGGCTGAGGTGGGAGGATTGCTTGAGCTCAGGAGTTTGAGACCAGCCTGAGCAAGAGCAAGACTCCATCTCTACTAAAAACAGAAAAATTAGCCAGGTGTTATGGTGTGTGCCTGTAGTCCCAGCTACTTGGGAGGCTGAGGCAGGAGGATTGCTTGAGCCCAGGAGTTTGAATGAGCTAGGCTAACACCACAGCACTCTACTCAGGGCAAAGGAGTGAAACTCTGTCCCCCCCTCCCCCCCCCAAAAATTGTATCTTTTTGTTCTTGTGTTTAATGTGTCTATTTGTAAGTTATATATTCCAAGATTCCTTAGTTTTCCAAGATTAAAATTCTTCTTGTTTCTTTTTCATTATCTCAGAGCAAGCGCTTAGGATCCCTTAATAAGTTTAAGGCAAAGGCTCGTTCCATTCTTCTAGCAACTGATGTTGCAAGCCGAGGTTTGGACATACCGCATGTAGATGTGGTTGTCAACTTCGACATTCCTACACATTCCAAGGTGAGTCCTATTACCTTGACTTTCTAGTCCCAAAGTGTATTTCTTAGTAGAATGTTTTCTGCCTTTCCTTAGTTACGATATAGTTTTTTTTGTCTGTGATTAGTTAAGTATCAAAACCCAAGAAAGCTCTTGATTTATTCATTCTCATCATCTTGCACATGGCTGTGTATGTAACATTAGTAAACATGAAGCAAGGTAGCCAACGAGAGTTATTAGATACTCACGGTCAGAACGGGCATATATAGCACGTGCTGATTTCTGTCACTCTCATTTCTTTAGAAATGACAGCTTGTGGTTCTTAGTGTGTATCAGGGTTTCTCAGCCTTGGCACTATTAACATTTTGGGCTAGCAAATTCTTTGTCATGGGGGTTGTTCTTTGCATTGTATTATGGGATGCTTAGCAGCATTCCTGGTCTCTACCCACTGGATGACAGTATCACACACTCTTCAGTTGTGACAACCAGAAATGTTTCCAGACATTACCAAATGTCCCCTGGGGATGACAGAATTTCCGCTGGATAGGACTGGTGTATCTCTTGGCTCTGTATTTGACTGCCATAGACAAAGTGCTGTCTCATTTGATTTTCACGATAACTCTGTAAGTTTGGGCATGTACTTCTATGCTTGTTTTATAGATAGAAACCAAGGTTCAGAGGTTTTGTGATGTTCAGATAACGTGGTTGAACTAGAGCTATTTTTACCAGGTCTGCCTCAAGAGCCAGTGGTTTTTTTTAAATACCGTGTTGTCTTTAACCATATAGATATGCTTTGTAGAATTTATTTACCCTTTTTGTTTCAGGATTATATCCATCGAGTAGGTCGAACAGCTAGAGCTGGACGTTCTGGAAAGGCTATTACTTTTGTCACACAGTAAGTAAATCAATTTTAGGGGCAGAGCAATGTAGAGAAAAGGGCAGAACTTGGAGCCACTGACTGGGAACCTAGCTCTGCCATTTACTGTACTAATCTCTTCAATTCCCTCATCTGGGTTTTCATATTTGTAAGATGGAAATAATAATACCTGCCTAGCAGGATTTTGGTGAAAATTGGAGATAATATAGGTAAAAAATCTAGTATAGATTTGGCATGTAGAAGCACATCAGATGGTTACCTGTTATTTCTTTCGATTGCTAGAGCTGGAGGCAATGACCTTTCTCTCAACTCAGAAAGTATGAGAATAACTACTTTTTTTTTTTTTTTTTTTGACAGTATCTCGCTCCATTGCCTGGGCTAGAGTGCCGTCACGTCAGCCTAGCTCACAGCAACCTCAAACTCCTGGGCTCAAGTGATCCTCCTGCCTCAGCCTTCCACATAGCTGGGACTACTGGCTGTGTGCTACCATGCCTGGCTAATTTTTTCTGTTTTAGTTGCCTGGCTGATTTCTTTCTATTTTTTTTTTTTTGGTAGAGATGGGGTCTCGCTCTTGCTGAGGCTGATCTCGAACTCCTGACCTCAAGCAATCCTCTCGCCTTGTCCTCCCTGAGTGCTAGGATTATAGGCATGAGCCACCACGGCTGGCCAGAATAACTGCTTTTGATTTCTTTTTTTAAGGAACAAATTTTTATGTACCCGAGGCTTTTCTGTGAGTGAAAGAATACCTTGAGTGATTTTTCTAATGGGCCGTGCCCAATGGTTGCACTTAACCAGCATTTAGAAAAAGAATATGTTCAATATTATTTAAAACTGTTCCTCATAATGCATCATATCATATAATGTCATATAGTCTAGGAATAGATAGACATATGCATTGTTAGCCAACCAAAGCCATGCCATTTTCCTTCCTCAGGTATGACGTGGAACTCTTCCAGCGCATAGAACACTTAATTGGGAAGAAACTACCTGTTTTTCCAACGCAGGATGATGAGGTTATGATGCTGACAGAACGTGTGACTGAAGCCCAAAGATTTGCCCGAATGGTATGCAAGTTTCTTCCTTACCAGATTTTGTGCAAATGATATTAACTGTGTGCCACTTTATTATATTAGTCCTCATAATAGACTACAGGAGCTCAGTATTATTTTATTTCAAATTTAAGATGAGCAAATTAAGGCCAGGAGTGGTCGCTCACACCTATAATCCCAGCACTTTGGGAAGCCAAGATGGGAGGATCACTTGAGGCCAGGAGGTCAAGACCAGACGGGGTAATATAGTGAGACCCCATCTGTACATAAAAATTTTAAAAATTAGCTGTGCATGGTGGCTTGCACCTGTAGTCATAGCTACTCTGGATGCTGAGGTGGGAGTCCCTCAAGCCCAAAAATTTGAGGTTACAATGGGGTATGATCACACCACTGCACTCCAGCCTGGGCGACAGAGCAAGACTCTGTCTCTTAAAAAAAAGAAAGATGAGCAAACTGAGGCACAGAGATGGTAGGTAATTTGCCTTAGACCACACAATTAAATGGTTGAATTGGGATTTGAATTTGGACAGTCTGACTAGAATGATCACATTCTCAGCCACTCTTCATGTATTACGTGTGGCAAGAAAACCACTGGACTTGAGGTGAGAAGACCCAGCTGTGAACGGTGTAAGCTTGAGCAATTTGCCTAATCTCTAAGATCAGGCAATTCCTTGCCTGCAAATTGGGAATAATACTTGCCTTGAACACATTACAGGGTTTTATGAGCACTAGATAAGCCAATATAAACTATAGTTACTAATACAGGTCAAACATCCCTAATCCGAGAATCTGAAATCCGATCTGCTCCAAAACCTGGAACTTTTTGAGCACCAAATGTGACACTGCAAGTGGAACATTCTATACCTGACCTCTTATGATGGATTGCAGTCAAAATGCAGTTAAAACTTTGTTTCGGGCTGGGCGTGGTGGCTCACGCCTATAATCCTAGCATTCTGGGAGGCCAAGGTGGGAGGATTGCTTGAGCTCAGGAGTTTGAGACCAGCCTGAGCAAGAGCGAGACCCCATTTCTACTAAAAATACAAAACTTCGTTTTGTGCACAAAATAATTCAAAGTATTGTATAAAATTACCTTCAGGCTATGTGTATAAAGTGTCTATGAAACATAAATGAATTTCATGTTTAGAATTGGGTCCCATTCCCAAGATATCTCATTATATATATGCAAATATTCCAAAATTTGAAAAAGTTTAAAATCTGAAGCACTTCTAGTCCCGAGCGTTTTGGATATGGGTGCTCAGCCTGTAGCAGTAGGAACACTAGTAGTGGTGGTGAGGAGATTCTAGAGGAAAGTCCGTGGAAGTGCTGCTTGCTGTCTGGAGTTAATAGTCTGAGGGATGGAGAAACTTTGCCTGTGGGTTGCTTTCTGAGTAGCAGAGGTACAGACTTCTTTTTGTTTTTCTGCCCATGTGGAATTTTTTATTTGGTATTTTTGTTTATAAAAGTGTTCCATGTACATTGGGGGAAAATTCAGAAAATACATCAAGATTAAAGTAGTAAATGAAAAGGCAAACCATCCCTCACAGAGATCCATTGATAAATGTGACTATTTTTCTTTCTTCAGTCATAATTAGACTTATCTAATTATATACGAGTAACCTTTTTCTGTTTCAACAAATACAAATCTATGTGATCATTTCTTAATGGCCAAAAAGAATTCCATGATGTATACATAACATGATTTACATTGATGGATGTTATGATTTTTTCCAATTTTTTTCTATTTTAACTAGTACTGTGTCTAGGATGTACAGCTTTGTATAATACTTGTCTTGTTTTTTTTTTTTTTCATAATAAATTCCTAGAAGTAGAATTGTTAGGCCAAGGAATGAGTATACAGTTAAAATGTAAATTCATGCAGAATGCCAAATTGTCCCCCTGGAAAAGCTATAGCATGTTAAAATATCAATGACAGTACATAGGACATTCCCCACACCTTGCCCAATGCTAGGGATTACCATTCTCTTAAATCTTTGCCCAATTGCCATGTGAAAATAATAGCTTATTTTAATTTTCATGCTTTCATTACTGATAAGATTAACATTTTTGTGTATTTGGAGTTGGGTCTTTTTCCTTTGCAAATGTCAAGTATCAGGAAGTTACTCAATGTTTGACCTTAAGAAGAGGGGACTAGGCTGTGTTAGCCTCAGTGACAGTAATTCATTTTCAGTCTCATCCTTTCGGTTTTCTTGCAGGAGTTAAGGGAGCATGGAGAAAAAAAGAAACGCACGCGGGAGGATGCTGGGGACAACGATGACACGGAGGGTGCTATTGGTGTCAGGAACAAGGTGGCTGGAGGAAAAATGAAGAAACGGAAAGGCCGTTAATCACTTTATTATAAAGACTTGAGTTCTGCTTTCTTTTCTGTAGAAGAGAATTGGAGAAGAGAATGAAATCTCCAGGAGAGGTTCTCAGACTGAAGTCTGTCAGAATTGTTGGCAGAATGAGCTCAGCTAATTCACTACTCCTTCCCCTTTCTGTGTGTTGGAGCATCATGACTGCGGAGTAGTTTTTACAGTGCTCATGTCACGACTGCTCCTGTTCTTCAGCTTCGATTCCTTGCTCGTGACATGAGTAGATGTGCTCTTCTGTCACTTCACACAGACCTTTTACCCTTTTTAGCTGCGAGTCAAGAACTAGGTCCATGAAGCCCATGACCTGTAATTGTAAAGGAAAGAAGCTTGGACATGTATAAGTGAAACTTCAGCCATCTCAGCTTGTGCTTCATTAGACCTAATGCAAAACAATAAATTTAAATACTATTTTTAAAAGATTCAAACTCCTCGAAGGCCTTGATGTTAAAGAACTTTATAGATTTAAGTAAGATCTTACTAGTAGGTCAGAAACCAACAGTGGCAGTTACACGGCAAATTCCTTAATTTAGGATAATCGTTTATGACTTTAAAAAAAAAATCAACAAAGGAACAAGATGATGGACGACTTTGAAAGGAAAGTCCTACTTAAAAGGAGGTTGTGTTTTTTTGGAGGGATGGAGCAAAGTCCAGGAAGACTGCAGAGGTCTTTCAGATCCATAAATAGATCCACTTCTCTGGTTCCCTGGGTTAGAAAGACTGTTTTCCTGTGTAGACGCTTATCCCTAGGTGACGAGAGTAAAATCAGTATGCATCGAAAATGTACATTAATTCTGAGACCTAATTTCATCCACTTGTCGTTGGTGCCGTTGGCCACTCTATTTTGTCCCCATCTGCTGGGTGGTTGAATTCAGGAGCTGTGGCGCTGGGTCCTTGGCTCCTGGGGGGAAGTAGGCATCCGCTCTGCAGGGCCTGGGTAGGGGAGGGTTGCTGGAAATCAGAAACAACTTTGAGCTTCCGGGTCATGAACAGTCTTGTGTTCTAAGGGCTGTTACACACGGAAGATACCTAATAATTTTTGTCGACTCTAACAAACTTATTAGAAGAGAGTGTGTCTGGAGTGGTTGAACCAGGGTAAAGAGAGTCTAAAGAATCACTGTGATGGATTAAGTTTGGGAATGAAGTTTGGCAGAAAAGAAACTTTCCATTTACATCTTGAAGGAAAGTGCACATTCCCAAGTTGTGTTTCTTAAAGTCAAAGCATCTGGTGAGAAATGAAAAGTACAAGGCAGTGAAATTCTCTGTGGTGACCCAGGAGCGGACTGTTCGCTGCAGGAAGGTCTTTGTAAATAGAGGGACGAGGTGCTTTCTACACGGATGTATCCCGAGAGGGGAGCCTATCGATAAGGCATTTCTGATGAATGGAAATGCAGCGTGTGGCTTATTCTGTTGTTTAGTTTGCTCTCAATTTCACTGCTGCTTGTTATGCTACGATTGCAGGAAGGATAAGGCAGGGGAGACAGTAAGGAAAAGGAAAGAGGAAAGGGGGTAGAAGACAAGGAGAGGCAGATAGTTGAGTGGGGCAGTACTTGTGACTGTTACGAGTTGTACCACTTGGGGCTGACTCCACTCACATTGTATATTCCTGATGGGACTGTCCAGGGTGCCTTAGGGAGCTCTGTGTCTGAGCCAGTAGGTGATTGCCGTTTCACCTCAGTGGGGGACCTCAGAAGCATGTCGAAATTGAATTGGGATACCGGTAGGGGTAAAGAGGAGATACTGGAATTATCCTCAAGGATGTCTGAACTTTTGGGCCCCTGAGGTATATGCGTGTTTCTGGGGAGACTAAAAAGGTTAAAAACCACTGCCCTAAAGCTTAACTGTTGTCTCTAAAGTATATGCATAAGTCTGCTTTGCTAGGATGAGAAGATAGGATACTGGTAAGAGAAATGTGAATGGATGTGTCTTCAGGCATATTAATAGGCCCAGAGCATAAACTAGAGTCCCAAACAGAGAAAGCACAGATGCCACTTTGAAGGGCAAAAGGCACAGAAACAAATGTGATCCATTAGTAAATGACAACACACTGAATACAGTGGCTTACACCTATAATCCTAGCACTCTGGGAGACCAAGGTGGGAGGATCACTTGAGGCCAAAGGTTTGAGCCCAGCCTGGGCAACATAGCAAGACCCCATCTCTACAAAAAATAAAAAAAAATTAGGTGGGTGCCCTGGCCTGCAGCTGTAGTCCCAGCTACGTGGGAGGCTGAGGCAGGAGGATCCCTTGAGCCCAGGGAGGCTGCAGTCCACCATTGTACTCTAGCCTGGGTGACAGAGTGAGACTGTCTCAAAAAAAAAAAAGATAAATGAGAAAAGGCCGTGGGTGCTGTTAATCAGAGGCATTCCTTGTGCTCCCTTGTCCTCTGAGGCAAGGTTGTGAGGTCTTGCTGCTGAAACCTTACTGAGGTGTGTGTGTGTTAATTTCCCAGGCCTGCCGGAACAAAGTATCACACAATGGGTGGCTTAAATCAACAGGAATTGATTCTCTCACAGTCCTGGATATTAGGAGTCCAAAATCAAGGTGTTGGCAGAGCCATGCTTCATCTGAAGCCTCTAGAGAAGAACCCTTCCTAGCTTCCTAGCCAGCGTTGCCCCTTCCTTGCCAGCAATTGGGGTTCCTTGGCTGTGGTGACGTGAGTCCAGTCTCTGCCTCCATCTCCTTCTGCCCCGTGTGTCCTTGTCTCTTCACACGGCCTTCTTATAAGGATACTAGTCATTGGATTTTGGGTGCACCTAATGCAGTATGACCTCGTCTTAACTAATTACATCTGCAAAGATCTTATTTCCAAGTAGGGTCATCTGAGGTTCTGAGTAGACATGACTTTTTGGAGGACACTTCAACCCAGTACAAAGTGTCTTTTTGGACTCTGCTACATTCTTTGGACTTTGCATTGTGGAATAGAAATGGTCGATAGAATTGGTTACAAAGAAAGTGGAGAAGACAGGAGATAAATCTACAGAAGTGGTTGGATAGGTAGAAGTATAGAAAAAGCTTAAAATGACATTCTCTTAAATGAAATGTCAATTGGCTTTGCAGTCAAGATACCAAAGGCTGCAGATTTAGGAGTGGGGAAGGGGGTCTTGATACTTCTATTCCCTTCTTGATATAATTCCTTAGTTCTGCATTCCTGATTTAAGAAGCTATGAGCTTCAAAACAGCCTCCTCCCGCCTCAGTTGTGAACAAACACACCTAACTTCTATGACTTAATAAAGGGAGCATCTTGCAGTAGTCATGTAACCGACTCAGCAAATTTCCCTCTTCTCACCTGAATCATAAAGCCCATTTATATGGTATTCATTGCGTCCTGTTGCTATAACAATGCTTCATGGTACCACCTAGCCTAGTTTTACGTCTCTGCACAGAGCCAAGAGTGAGAATGAGGAAAATACTTCTCTGTTTTAGGAAGGGGTCGTAGCCCAGGGATTGGGTTTTGATCAGATAGGTTACTTCAGGCTTAAAGCAGGCCCAGAATTCCAGAGAACCCTGAAGAAATCATTGAAGGACACTCTGAGGGGATTCTAGTTGTTTAGAGGGGTCTAGACTCAACTAGATCATGGTGATTCTTTCTTCGTCTCTCAAAAATGCGATGACTATCCCAGAACTTGGCCGGCTCTTTAAGACATCTGGCTTATACCCAGCCTGCTTTCCAGGTAGCTTCCTGCCTGCAGAGGTATCCACAAACCTAAAGCAGAGACTTTGTCTGATTTGTCCCAGAGCTTTTCCTCAAAGCCCTGGGAAACGGGACCAGAAAGAACCACAGGCAGTGGTGTTGGTTACAGAAAATGAAGGGATCCAAGTTATCAAAAGCAGGCAACAAAATAACATCAAGAAAGATGTCCCTAAAACTTAGAGAACATAAAAGAAGTTCTAATCCACATAGTTGTTAAGGTAAAATCTAGCCTCAGGGCAGGTAATAAATCAGGTGTGAGTCACCCCTCTTTAGCTGGAATGACAAGAGATCCAGCCCTTGGCACTAGAGATTCAAGGGTTACCCACACCCACATTCCTTTTCAGGCCTCACCTGTCCCAGGTATGCACTAAAGCTACAGCTAAAAATAACTGCAGAAACTTGAAGTCTGGGAAATTGCCCTGAACAGTCTCGCCTAGAGTAAGAGCTCATAGGTGCTGAAAGGGGCGGCCTTGCAAAAATAACAGAGAAGTACGTAATCCCACAATTTCCCCAGTAACAGTTAAATAGCAATCCTATGAGTTCTCTCACTAACAGACACCCTGCAGGAGTTCTGTTTTGGACAATTTCTGAAGAGAGCTAAATGGACGGAAACGAGATGTAAATCTCTCTCTTTCAAAAAATCGGTTTTTGAAAATCTGCTTTTACAGAGTTCCTGAGTAAACAGCAAGAGAACGCGCTCCATACAGTCAGTCTCAACCGTATCTCGAGGACAGAGTCACATCTCCTGTGATAATCCCTTCTCCAAGGAAAGGAGGAAAGCACGTCTCGGACTTGGACATCCTGCTGCCGCTTTTGTTACCAACTGGCAGCCATCACTATTTTTTTGCTCTTCGCCCCCCACTTAAAATCAGCAAGCCACTTGGCCTCAGCGCCGGCACCCCCTTCTCTTTCTTTGGAATGCCACACAGCCCCTGCTCTCTTCCCTGCCCCCTTTTCCTTCTCTCTTTCACTCTCTCACTTTCCTTCTCTCCCTTAAGAAGATAAAATGAACTTTTTTTACTTTTATATATCCAATCTCTGCATGAGAAACCTTTTCCACCCGCGCCAGGAGCACCTAGCGAGCTTTCCACCGTAACAGGCGCCACGTGGACAGGAGACAAGAAGCAAACGGGCTCCTGGGGAACCACGCATTCTCTGGGAGGTGGGCCCTGACGTCTGCTCGGATTCTGGGAGCTTCTGTCTGCTCATAGCCATCCATTCATCCGACACCTTCCAAACACGAAGGATCTCCTGTCACTCCCGCCCTTCGCCCTTTGATAACCTGCCAATGCCATCTAGGGGCTGGAAGGAGCAGGAGGGATGGGGAAAACCAACAGCTGGGGAAAGTGTTAAGTCCTGAGACTGCTCCCGCTGTCGCTACGTGACCTCATGGGAGTTACTGAACCTCTCTGAACCTTGAGATTTCTGATCTGTTAGAATGGAAAGAAGACCAGCTATCCTACCTGCCTCACAGAATCTCGAACCCAGTTTTAAAAAAATTCTGTTACCTCCTTCCCTCTCTTCCAGTATGTGCTATATCCTAGTCACCGTGCCAGGCACTAGGAAAACAGTACTGAAGAAAAAGTCACATGCTGTCATTGCTGAACTCAGTCTTAGCACTGTGACCGCGCTTGCCCGCGGGGCCGGGACTGTGCCTTATGCATGGGTGTAGCCTTAACATCTTACGGCTCCCAGCACATAATGTGTGTTCAATATCTGTCCTATTCT